TGTTGACTCTCCCTAACGAAATATCGTGCCAGTACCATGTTGACTCTCCCTAACGAAATATCGTGCCAGTACCATGTTGACTCTCTCTAACGAAATATCGTGCCAGTACTATGTTGACTCTCCCTAACGAAATATCTTGCCAGGACCATGTTGACTCTCCCTAACAAAATATCGTGCCAGGACCATGTTGACTCTCCCTAACAAAATATCGTGCCAGGACCATGTGGACTCTCCCTAACAAAATATCTTGCCAGGACCATGTTGACTCTCCCTAACGAAATATCGTGCCAGGACCATGTTGACTCTCCCTAACGAAATATCGTGCCAGGACCATGTTGACTCTCCCTAACGAAATATCGTGCCAGGACCATGTTGACTCTCCCTAACGAAATATCGTGCCAGTACCATGTTGACTCTCACAACCAGACCATAGAGAGTCAAGAAAAGAATAACCTTTGTTATATTTTAGATAAAACATAATTCCTTTATTGTTAATTTCATAATTACTAGTGAAAATCTTCTATATTAAATATTTCTTAATAAGAAATTTATTATTTCAGTTGTTTTTTTTGTGATTACTTTGTTTTGTGCTTATTAATTACTTTATAGATTTAACACGATTTTTCGTGTACTCCGAGTACAGATGTAGTAATAGCTTAAATGTGAAGACGTGTGGAAAGTTACCAGTGTGCGTCAACAACAACATAAACATTTATAGTTTTACACTTAGAAGAATTATTGTATAGGGTTAAAAGTGTGCATATTTTATCACGAAGTCGTGCTAGTTTTATATTAGTTGGAGAATATTGCCTTGTACTTGCGTTAAGATCCAAGACGTAGTCGCAGCTCTGCATGATAAGATAAATTCACTGGTTGTGTGGTCACAGATACGTTGTTTACCTTCATCAGAGTGATTTTCACCGTTAAATAGTTGATGGAGTTAGAGGATGGTAACAGTTCCCCGTAAAGCCGAATAGTGCCGTACACACACACACACAATCTGGCTTGTAGTATTCCTTTTAGATATTTGTGTTAATATTTGTATGAATCACAGTAAAAGCTTTGTCTTTTCGTATAGTTTGTTCAAAACATGCCCACTCGACTAGCTCCTCGTCTAGTTATCATCTCAACTCAAGAAGATGCAAAACTTTTGAAACATGCCATAAAATGTGGGATTCCAGTAGTGGAAGCAGAATTTATTCTAACTGGGCTTCTTCGCTATGAGTTAAACACTACCGTATATCCTTTTGTGCTTAAAAAAGAAAACAAACTACTTGGTGTGCTTGTGTTTTTGATCTCCAATATTTCTACCTAAATATTCTGTTTTTTTCCAGTTTCTTTCTTTTATTTTCAACACACACATCCTAAAATATCCTATTTGTTTTCTTTTTTATCCTGTTTGTTTCAATATCCCTAAATCTTTAGACACTGCTCATTCATTCTTTGTCTCATTACATGTATGTACTGGTCATTGTTATCTTTACGTGCTAGTCATTACATGTATGTACTGGTCATTGTTATCTTTACGTGCTAGTCATTACATGTATATACTGTAAAGATAACAATGACCATGCTAGTCATTACATGTATATACTGGTCATTGTTATCTTTACGTGCTAGTCATTACATGTATATACTAGTCATTGTTATCTTTACGTGCTAGTCATTACATGTATATACTGGTCATTGTTATCTTTACGTGCTAGTCATTACATGTACATACTGGTCATTGTTATCTTTACGTGCTAGTCATTACATGTATATACTGGTCATTGTTATCTTTACGTGCTAGTCATTACATGTATATACTGGTCATTGTTATCTTTACGTGCTAGTCACTCATTCTCTTTGAATCGTCTTTATACAGGTGTGTATTGACCCATCAGGACAATGGGAAAAATTCTGGTATTATCAATTGTAATACTGATAGAATTTTTTTAATTTGATTCAAATGGTATTATAGCACTGTAACTCGACAAAAACATAGATCCACTAATAACCTGATGCATCAGTAAGTTATAAAAAATGTGCTCAGAAAGCCACTGGAGGTCCGTCAGTGATTGTTGACAATCCTTAACTTTAGTTACTTTTTCATTGAAGGTTTAGAAATTCCACACTACCCCCTCTTGGCTAGTTTGTGTGGACGTATTGCAACAGAAGAATCCTTGTGGCTAGTTCACATGGACGTATTCCAACAGAAGAATCCTTGTGGCTAGTTCACATGGACGTATTCCAACAGAAGAATCCTTGTGGCTGGTTCGTGTGGATGCATTCCAAAGGAAGAAATCATGAAACCATCTAATACATTGGTTTCCTATCATACCACAAAAAATATATTTTATATTTTAATGATGAGGAAGTGTACATAGGAAAGTTGTGAAAAGTTTTTTTTTACATTTATGTATACAATTAGTGTAAGGATTACATTTTCCCCGTGGTACGGCAGGGGGGATATGGAGTTGCCGTACATTTATTCAAATAATTGTACTTGAAGTGTTTTCCTCCTTCACTAGAAAGAGAAAAAATTCCATACAGTTTTTTAAACATTACACATTTCTTCGAGAGATGGTGCTGCTGTATTCTTTGTTTCAAACTATTATCAGTTTTAACTAAGATATTCCAGAGCACACAGAACCAACAGAAAAAAGAATGAAAGTTAGTATCAGAGAGGAAGAAACCCAATAACCCCTTTGTCGTCAGGAGTATAGGGCTCGGGTTATTCATTTTTTTTTTCTAGTTGTGATTGTATTCTCGGTAACATCTCATTTGTAAAGATAACATCCAGTCTTTGTCCCATTTGTTTTTTGTGTAATATAGTAAATACTAGAGCGAAGATTAATTTTGTATTTAATTAAAATATAAACAGGGTTTCTAATTAAAAAAAATATAAAGGACATAACAAACGGAAATCAGATACTTTGAAAGAATATTAAAAGTGCTTGAATTAAAAAAAAAAGTGAAGTCTTTTTGAGGACTTTCCTGAAGATGGCAGCACAGTTGCAGCCAAAGCATGGGATAAAACTAATAATAATTAGTTTCTAGTTATATATATGTATATGCATATATAAAATATTTAATGATCAATAATTGAACTTAGGTGATCATATAGGTTACTATCTATATCAAGGAGTGAAACAGATGATGAAACATGCTTTCAAAGTTGAAATCACCGTGTTCAATGTTTTTGGAATGCCAGTTTCTTGATCCTGACATTTCAAAACCATAAGTTGTGTTCCCAGACTACAAGAGCCTTTATCGTATTTATAATCTTGAAGATATTTAATTGTGTCTTTTAACGCTAAAGTTTTTAAGGAAACAAAGTTTCTGTAAAATATTTAGTTAGATGGAGATCTGTGCTTATTTGTTGATTAAAATTGAGGTTACAGTTACAATAAATAATCACAACTTTCAAGACATTATTCACGTATTATAGTTTGATACTTTTATTTTTCACCACACCATCCCGAGACTTTTTTTTTCATCATACAAACTTTTAATTCTTGAACATTCTTAAGAAACTAGATTAAGAATGTAGAGTTTAAAAAGTGTAATAGGCCTAATACTAATGTCCTATGACAAGTATAAGTGTAATTATACAATCCTGTTTTATAAATTTGAGTTCTTGGGAAAATTTTATTTATTAAAAAAGGAAACAAGAAAATGGATAAAATATTTATGATAAATAAGTTAAAACACGGTGTTGTTTATTAGACAGATTTGGTTTTGGGTGTTTTAACATACTGCAAGTCCGTATTTAAAGAAGATAGTAAGAAAGATAACTACTCTTAAGAAACTGGAAAGAATCAAATTATCTAAATAACAAGTATTTGAAAACATATTAACCGTACTATTTTTTATTTATTTTATCACTAGATAGTGTTAAAATGTGACTCCTAAGTAGCAACCTAATGAAGACGTACTAAACATCCTTTGTTTCTAAGCCTCACTTTTAATTGTGTATTGAAGTGTAACTATCCACTGATTTAAAGTCCTCCCGTTTTGTTGTTTTTTGTGAAAGTTATATATGACCACTGGTCTATGTGTTTGTATTGTATATAATATTTTTACTTGGAATAAAATGTTTCAGAGAAATTCGGTGTATTAAGAATTCAGTCTTTAACAGAACAAGCGTTAGTCTCAGTGGCTTGCATTTCGTTTTATAATCTTTCGAAGGATGATTAATTTATTCACCAATTATATGTCTGAAAGTTTGTATTCTTCAATAAAAAGTTTTAAAACCTACCTCAAAAATGCCTATTTCTTATTCTAAGGTCTGTTCCAAGTTTTTGGTTTAAAACGAACAACAATGGCAGTTTTAATATCAATAATTTACAAAAAATTCTTGTTGTCGGGTCTCACTAAAACCTGATGTGGAATTGTTTGGAGCTGGAAGGAAAAACCAATAGGATTGTGACGCTACTCTTGCTAAAGTCTTCATACAGTTTCTTTTCACGCTTTTATATGTAATTAATGTTTAATTACAGCCTTTTTGACAAAGTGTGTGAATGAGCGTGATATGATTCGAATGAAACCACAAGATAAAAAAAGATTAACATTTGAAATTTAGATGTATTTTTTTATTATTCACGTAATGCACATTATATTCCTAGTTACAGACCGACCTTGTTTTACGTGAACCTTTTTAACTTCAGAAGAACTGACAAGTTTTCAAAATAACAGTATCGGTATCATACCTGTTGATAACTAGGCTTAACTCGACATTATGCCGTGGAGAGGTAGACGTAAAGACAAAAGTATACGTTATTGCTGAGAACAGTTCGTGTTATGGCAAGAAAATAAACTTTCGCACTATATATATGGATTTTATGTATTTTTATAAACAGTTTAGAAAAAACGACCTTTATACTACAAATATATATATATATAATATTTTTTTCCCATGAATCTGGAATTTAAAGGTCGTTTTTTCTTAACTTTTTCTTATCAAAATATGGCTTTATGTGTTGTTTTTATACATTTTGTCCCATTATAAGTATTTAAAGAGTCTGTTTAAATAAACGGTGAACCTCAGCTGAGAGTGGGAACTGTGTAAACAGTGAAATAGAGATATTTCGATTCTAACAATTATAGCAGACACGGGTGATATCTCACAATTGTTTCATTTCCAAAAGTCAATCTTTTCAATTTGTTTTTAGATAAACATATTATCAAGTTTAGATCGTCCAAGACAAAATAAGAAGAAAATTTAAATTAAAGTATAACTGGAAGAATTTACTTGCGGCAGAGACATCCAAATGTGGGTTGGGAATATCCAGTATCTCCATTTAACTTTTGAAACGCTAGTGAACTGTAGTGAAAAATGATAACGTAGTGTAAGAGGTTCATAGCGTCCCAAGTATATAAATACATTTTCGTATAGTAAACATACATTTTACTTAATTCATGTGTCATGATATAAAAAACTGTTTAGTTTCGATGTTATTGATTAATTTATTTTTGTGAGTAAATATTTTATTACTGTTTAGTTTTTGTTACAATAAGAGTTAAAAGCAGACGATTGTAGGAAGTTGTGTTTATAAGTCATTGATGTTGAGACTATCGAACGTCGCGTGCAACACATTGACGTCAAGAATATAGGGGTTTCTAGAATGCGGGCAGATGATTAAGTGATAGACATATAAATAGTGTGAGACGAGGGGAAATAGCAGAAAAGAGTAAAGCTACAGGCAAGGAAAAATTCAGCGTGAAGTTAACTACCATAGAAGTGATAGGCCTAGCGTCTAATATGTTAGAGTAAGACTAACAGTAGAAAAAGAGATAAGAATAAGAACTATATTTTAAATTCTGATATTATGTAATAATGACAGGTTTGTTTGTTGTTTTTAAGCTAGTAAAGAATCAGGATGTAATATGTCGTAACAGCTGTGTCAATTAAACATGTTTAAAACTCACAATACAATAGTAATATTATTTTCTTGTCACCAGTGTTAAAGTGTCATGTATTCACTTTACTGACTCCCGATGTATGTTCACCTTATTTTATTTAAGTGAGTCACAAAAAAAAACTATCTGTTTGCTGTGTAACACCACACGTGATGATTCTATTAACATGAGTAAATATATGCTCAGGGAACATTTCGCGAGGTGTATTTTACTCAGTCATGTTTAGGAAAGCATATATGCCGTATATCTTTCAGAATTATCTATCACATCAATAACCAACAATTCCAATATCATCTCTCCAGATAAACGAGAAATAAATTATTCAGTTATGAAGAAATTAATAGTTTTACTGAGCTCAGTGGTGGCTTCTCGCAGACAAGGTGACGATGGTTCTGGGGAAAACAGGATTGGTGGAGGAATTGGCATCAATAGAGGTCGAGGAGTGGTACTGGCGGTTCTAGAAAAAGAGGAACTAACAGTAATCAAAGAGGTTCTAAAACTTCTAGTAGAAGCAAACGGGTAAGCCTAAAGAGAAAACATTGAGAATTAGTTGTCCAGTGTGACAATGTAACAATTGTAACGTCTGTAATATGGTTGTTAAATTTGACGTTGAAGCGAGTATATAATAGTTCGTATAACAATTGTAAAATGAACAGCTTATAAGCACAACTTTACAAAAATATGAAGATGATTACCCCCGACTAGTTTCGACGTACCACGTGCGCCATTTTCAAGGGTATACTGTGTGTGTATGTACAACGACATCTAGCAAGTGTTGTTTTCTCGGTTTGTACACCCTTGAAAATATCGCACGTGGTACGTCGAAACTAGTCGGGGTGATCGACTTCATGTTTTGTAAATTTATGTTTGCTCTTCGTTACTTAATTTGTGCTTATAAAACTGTCAATCTTTACCACATTTGTAGCTAGCACAAACTACTACTTAACTTGATTAATTGTAGCATTGTTAAAGTTTCCGGATATATTAGCTGATACACTGTATTTCATTCGAATTAGAACAGTTTCACTTAAGCCATTCTTCTTTTCTTTCTTAAACGGATTAAAATTACATATGAAATAAAATAAAGTGAAATATAAGTGTTCTTGAAAAGTGGATGAAGATTTTAGTGAGACTGGGATCGAGACTGTATCGCGTTTTACAAATATTTTTTAACAGCTCTTCTCATACTCAATAATGTGAGCTTTTATAAAGATCCTATCGGGTTTTAGTAAAACTCAAGGCTGTGAAGAGTATTGTTGATACCTCGCAAGAAGGCTTAAAAAAGGTTGCAGAAATATATATATTTTTTTATCATGAATCAACAATTACTTTTAAAAGACAATAAAACTGCGAATCAAACAACGTTTATATTAAATAACAATAATTATTAATGTGGAAGTGCGTCTTATCTTAGAAAATAGGTTTCATTTACTTTGGTTTGTAGGTAATAAAAATATTTTCGTCTACAAAGTACAAAGACGTTATTTTCTTAGTCTTAGTAACCTCTTTAGCCTTACTCTTATGGAATACGAGATGATATAAAACTATAAGAAAAACAATGAATATTTTTGTGTTTTTTACGATCATCTATATGAAACAGAAGCATCCTTAATTCTACGTTAGGCTATTTTAGTTGTAGTGTGCCCATCGTGGACGCGTTTTAAACACCCTACATGTACTTAATTCTGCAAATCACGTAACAAATGTTCCTCCCTTCTAAGTAGTTTTATTATACGGATTAAAAACACCAATAAGACTTATCAAGACACTGATAACATGTCAAGGTTAACTAAAATACAAAGTTATAAATTAGTTTAAAACACTGTTTTTCGTTTGTTTTTTTAACTATATCTTAAGATGTTTCCACTTCCCATACACCAGTAAAGAAGAACAAGTTACCAGATATGAAAGTCTCAACAAGATAAAAAAATATCTGTACTTCGATCAGTAATGTTTCCTCACGGAAGAATAATAAAACAGTATATATACAGTTTAGAGGACTACTTCAGTAAGTTAACACTAATCCTTTAGGGACTTCGTGTCTATTAAAATTCACCACTACTTTCTTCACCCCCTCTGGTTTTTTTTTCTTAATAACTTCTGGAAAATTAATTTAAACAAAGTGTATAATCGGTTTCTTCGGTGTCAGTAAAGTACCAGATTTTTAACAGAATCATTTCTGTTGTTTTTACTCCTATATATAAACAGATATACGAAAGTTTATTTCTCAAACCCCCTTTTTCTTTCTCAAAATGTAGCATCTGATCTAAGTTGTTACCGTAGTATTTGAGGACGTTAAAAAAATCTAACATAACTACATTAGCACATGATATCAAAAATGAATATTGACTAAACCCACGGATAGTCGTTGGACAGGGTATGAAGACAACAACGACAAAAAGACTCGACCTGTGGCCAAGTCGTTGTACTTCGTTTTTAATGACAAAGAGCATTTATCCACAAGGGCAGATGGGCAATAAAAGACCAGCCCGGGCAATATCACATGCTGCATTCTGGTTAAACAATTAAAATTTAAAATGAATTTCTAAAAATGCGTCAAATGAACTGGAGCACTGGGAAATTGCCCGGTGGGCCAATCAGCCCCTGCTTACCCACTTTAAGCTGTTTTATTATATGTTTCAATTTGCAAATATTTTGTTTCTCATTCTAAAACCCTTTTGGATACATTTTGAATTCGTGTAATGTCAGATGATAATGAATATTTTAACAACATTCTGGATAATCTTTAATTCGTGTAGATTAACAGACTGTAGTGAATTACAAATGAATATTGGTTTTGAAGTGGCACAGCGGTATGTCTGCGAACTTACAACGCTAAAAACCGGGTTTCGATACCCGTGTTGGGCAGATCACATGTAGCCCATTGTGTAGCTATGTGCATAACTTCAAACAAACAAACGATTTTGAAGATGTTTGGGTTAAAAGAGAGAGAGAGAGTTAAAAATAACAGGTTAAATAAAAGCTCACTTCGGGGGGTTTGTTGCAGTATGTTAACGAATTCGATCTCTTGGGTTTGTTTTATATCTGATGTTCCCTGATGAGTGGTGTCTTGACGATGGTCTTTCAGTGATAACATAGTGTGAAACCTCATAATCAAATCAATTTCTACAAATTGAACTTTTCACAATATATATACAGTTGATTGGTAACGCGCGTTTTTTGATAGGCATTTCTGAAGTGACATCTATTTTGATTCCAAGTTCCAGAGAATAAACACATGGACTTATGACTGGAGTCTTCTTTCTTTAAAAAAAGACACTATTTTATAGGGAAAATTACTCAAACCTATTGGCTATTCTGTACAACGACCTTGACTTTTAAACCAGGTATTTGGAGCTTGAAACAGCAGCATTTTCTGTGATGAATGTCAGGTAGTGTGACGTCTTTAGAACTTGATGATAGTAGCCTGATATACGAGACGAAAATTGTAAAGACAGCTGTTGAGTTTGAAGCATGTTGATACTCTAGAACCTGACGAATCTACTGTAACAGACTTTCGTAATGTTGTCTTATCATAATTTGTGGATTATTAAAATATTTAATTCGTGATATGGATAATCTTTGTTCTATGGTAGGTAATTTTAGGCACATTTGACCCTATGTGGTAAGTGGTTTATTATTACAAGAATCGTGTTCGTACAATGTTCGTTAACAAAGCAGTTTTTAACTAACTTTGTTCGTGCCGAATATTATCACACGAAATATCTGCGCTAGCCGCTTCTAATTTTGAACTGATCGACGAGAGTGAAGGCAGCTTGTCAACAGCACCTACCATCAACTCTTATATATCAAATAGTGGGATTTGACCGTCACTCTTATAACGCATTAATGAATCTAAATGCGAAGTATGTTTTTTTTTTATTGTAGCGAAAAGATGAGCCGAGTCATAGAGCCTCAGGCCATGGCTGGCTTGACTAATTGTGAAATGACATGGTAAGGATACTTGATAAAGATGGCACTAGATGTCCGATTGACTAATTGTGAAATGACATGGCAAGGATACTTGATAAAGATGGCACTAGATGTCCGATTGACTAATTGTGAAATGACATGGCAAGGATACTTGATAAAGATGGCAATAGATGTCCGATTGACTAATTGTGAAATGACATGGCAAGAATACTTGATAAAGATGGCACTAGATGTCCGATTGACTAATTGTGAAATGACATGGTAAGGATACTTGATAAAGATGGCACTAGATGTCCGATTGACTAATTGTGAAATGACATGACAAGGATACTTGATAAAGATGGCACTAGATGTCTGAAGAATAAGTTGTATTTATTTTTACATTCTATATTTTGGTTCTTTTTTTTTCATGCAAATAGTGATAAAGTTGTAAAGGTAAAACTGACCAATAATAAACACTGAATATTATAAAATTAGAGTTACGTTATATTTTACCAATGTTTGAACTTTCTATCTTTTGTTTAAATATTTTTATTCAAATCTAGCGTGTAGAATTCATTCTAACAATTAAAACGTGTGCGTATATTCATGAGCAGTATATATCTATATGCTAAATAAATGTCAAGTCTTCTAAATAAGAAATTGTCCTGGAAAATTTATTTGAATTGTATTTTGAACAACAGCACAAACACCAAAGACAAAACAAAATTTTGTTATTTCTGTTTTTTCGGTAATTCCGCAAAATAAACCAAAATACGGGTGACACATAAATTTATTTTGACGACTGGAACAGATACCTTTAGGGCAGTGTTAGGCCTAAGTGAAAACGAGAAACGAAATATATTTTATTTTATATGGCACATTATTTAATCTCCTAAACATAAACATTGAATTATTTTTCAACCGGTAAAGATTTTGAGGAGGATTAACCTAAAATCTCCGTCTAATTATACAAACAACAAAACGACAACTTTTACTACCCAAAAGGTTTTAATGATGGAGGTCCTCATTAATTTAAATATAAGGCATGTGTTATGCCATCTGCCGGACTTAATTCACTTTACACGTTTTTAAGAAATTATATTAGGCTTGAATGTTTTAATCTCTCTATAGGTGCGCACCAACCAAAAACTATAATTTAAAACAAAAACATTATTATATGAAATAAAAAAAAAATAAGCATTATTAAAAAACGGGCTTTCAACAGGCTCTAACATAGTGCTTTTGTGATGATGTCGCTTTTAAAACATATGCACTTCACGTGTCCATTGGCTGTTAGGTACTGACATCATAAAGGAGCTGAATTTAACTGATGATACAGCCATGTCTTGAAGATTATGACAGGTGTTAATAAGACTTACTACACTGATACAGCCATGTCTTGAAGATTATGACAGGTGTTAATAAGACTTACTACACTGATACAGCCATGTCTTGAAGATTATGACAGGTGTTAATAAGACTTACTACACTGATACAGCCATGTCTTGAAGATTATGACAGGTGTTAATAAGACTTACTACACTGATAGAATACTGATTGATGATACAGTCTGTCTTGAAGGTTACAACGGGTTATTTCAACTTACTGTATTGACAGAACATGTATTTACAGATAACTGATGTTTAGAGGAAGGTCTATTTATACACAAATAATTTTAATTTTTTATGCTAGAAAACGAAGTTTTAAGTAAATATAATTAATTTTGTATCTGACAGCGAAATAATGATATTTCTAAGAACATAAAAAAAAACCTTCGTTCAAGTTTTGGTCTTAACGGAAACAATCTAACTTTCCTTACAGAGTTGGTCTACTAGTGTTTATTTTTCCAATAACGATTTCTGGAATAAGTTTAAAAATTACAAACATAAAAAGGAATAATGTAATGTTGTTCCTTTACAATTAACAACCTGTATCGATTGAAACTCGGGCCACTTTCTGAGGGATGACAAAATGTAGTGTTTAACTGTCTGGATACGAAATTCGAACCGGAACAATGTTTATTACAATAACGTGACGTCACTAACCGACTTTGATCTGAACTTTGACAGGAAATTAATAAATAATGCTATTATTCTAAGTTTATATATATATACACACTTTTTTTACAAAAAGACACTGAATATACAGGTGACTTTAGGAGGTATGGATTCTTAGTTGCAAGACGGCGGCTTATCGGTAAGTAAGAGGGCTAAAATTCGAGGTTCGATTTCTGTAGTGAAAACAGCGCAAACAGTCCATTGTGGGGCTTTACAAACAAACAAATAAAATAGCAGAAGAACTGGTTTCAACCAGTCTGTACAATTAAGAAGAGTAATTCATCATATATATATATATATATATGGAAGTTATAATCAGATGGACCTGTCTGTTATTAAATACAGTTGTAACTCACTAACACCTTACTAATAGCAATGTTGTTCACTTCAACTGTCAACTTTCTAACACATTATAGATGTTGTAACACCAAAACATCTGAACACTTTCTAACACATTATAGATGTTGTAACACCAAAACTTCTGAACACTTTCTAACACATTATAGATGTTGTAACACCAAAACTTCTGAACACTTCCTAACACATTATAGATGTTGTAACACCAAAACTTCTGA